TCATCAATTTACATGTGCTAATGGCCGATGTATACCAGCATCATATGAATGTGATTTAGATAATGATTGTGGTGATAATAGTGATGAAAATGCATATTTTTGTCGTAAGTTTTTGTTTAATTTGAATATTTTGAACAAAAACAAAAAAAAATGAAATTTTATTTTAAAGGTAATCGACCTTGTCGTGTTGATCAAGTTCGTTGTCCAAATTCATATAAATGTATTTCACAAATGGCACGTTGTAATGGATATAATGATTGTGGTGATAATAGTGATGAAAATCTAAATCAATGTCCATCATGTAATAATGCAAGTCATTTTCGATGTAATAATGGACAATGTATTGTGAGAAGTCTTCAATGGTAAATTTCAGAATACTTATTTGTTATATTATGTGTAAGGAAAGGATTTTGGTTATTGAATATGTTATTTAAATGTTTTTTCTTTGTTTTCTTGAAATTCTTTGTTGAGAAGAGAAGTTTACAGGCAATAGATTTGCATGTTTTCAACAAAGTTAGTCTTAACCTTTTTGTTACTATCTATCCTGTGATCATAAATTTTTTTTCAATTTAAGAACATCTGACAAAATCAGAAAACAAAAAGATCTATTTTACGTTTCATTGTTTTGAGAAAGGAAAATATTTTCAGATGAAATCAAAAAGTTTCTCAAGATTTTTAATACTGGAAGCATTCATATTGTTTGATGACATATATTTTGCCTCTTTGTGTTCCTTATATTTTTTTGAAAATTTTAACAAAACGACAAATAATTTAGTTTGAATAATTATTCGAAAGATTTTGCTTATTAATTATTATTGATATTTTATATTTACTCTTTATTAAGTAATCATCGAAATGATTGTCGTGATGGATCAGATGAAAATCCAGCAACATGTGGTAAGTAATTGAGAAACAAATAAAAACAATAATTTTGTTTCCTTTGTTTATTCGATTTTTAATTTCAGTCTATCGTGAATGTAGTGAAGATGAATTTCGATGTTCTAATGGTCGATGTATTCCACAACGATGGTTTGAAAATAATATTCAATAGAATTCAAAAAAAATTTACACAAATGTTTTCTTAATTTTAGGGTGTGTGATCATGATTATGATTGTGGTGGAGGTGATACATCGGATGAAGCTGTTGATTGTCGTAAATGATTTTTATACGTAATATAAATATGTTGTTTAAAAAAAAAAGATATTATTTTAGTTTCTCGACCATGTCCGAATGGACGATTTAAATGCACATCTGGTCATTGTATAAGTAATACAAGTCGTTGTGACGGTTATCCTCAATGTCGGGATGGTTCTGATGAAGCAGGCTGTCCTGGTCGAAATTGTTCGGATCAATTTACTTGTAATAATACTCTTTGTATTTATCGAGGCTGGGTTTGTGATGGAGGTAGGAGGTTTCATCAGTAGTTTTTTTCTTATCGAATTGAATTATAATAAAATACTTTCATTCTAGATAATGATTGTCTTGATAATAGGTAATCAATAAAAAATATCAACATATTTTATGATTCCTCTTTTTTTTTTATTTAGTGATGAAGCAATTGAATTATGCCGAACAGTACCTTGTAATTCAACAAATCATTTTCGGTATGAGATTTTGTTTTTTGCTTTTTATTTCTATCAATCAGAAGAAAACAGAAAAACATTTGTTGCGAGAAACAATCTAAAAGAAGTGTTAAAATATAGGAGTACAAATTTGAACCCACGCCACAGATCGTATATCAATAACATCTCGTTACATGTATTCCCATCTCCAACTAATCCCTGATTAATTTGTCCCAACTTAATTTTTTTCCAGATTTGACCCATGCTGAAAAAAACTCGGCCCATTCCTGATCAGGCCCTTATTTGCCAATTAAGGTGTAGGTCTCTGTTTAGAGACGATTAAGTAAAAGGATGATGAAGAAATATATCTCAAAATAGAAAAAAACTAAAACAATCTCCCTGTCATTATCAATAGCATCTATATCGTGTTTTATATTTTAAATTTATTTAAAGATGTACAAATGGGCGATGTATCTATCGATGGCGTCTATGTGATCATATAGATAATTGTGGTGATGGTAGTGATGAAGATATTCATGGTGTATGTCGACCAGATTCACCAGTAACATGTCCAGAATTTCATTGTACTCATACAAATCGTTGTGTACGATATGTAGATTTATGTGATGAATGTAAATATTTATAAAATAAAATAATTTTTTGATTAATTTCTTTTTAATTTAATTCATTTAGTTGATGATTGTGGTGATGAATCAGATGAATTATTATGTAATCGTACTACAACAATAACATGTGATAATCGAACAAATCATTGTGATCAACGATGTCATAATTTACCAAATGGGCGAGGAATTGTTTGTTCATGTTATACAGGTTATAAATATAATAGAGAATCATATAAATGTGAAGATATAAATGAATGTGAAAATGTTACTTTAAATTATTGTTCACAAATATGTGTTAATACAAAAGGTAGTTTTCGATGTGAATGTGCAGCTGGTTTTCAACCAAGTGCAGTTAATAGATCGGATTGTCATCCAGGAGGTAAAATTTTTTATCAAAGAAAAAAAAAAAAAAACTATTGAATTCCTATATAGACATTTAAGAAAATATAGAGTTTCATTATAAATGTCGAAAGATTAAAAAAAAAAATTACATCAGAAAGTCTTATTCTCTCATGATTGAATGCAAATAGTTTTTTCTAAGGATTATAATCTCGTTTTCGATTCACTATCAGTGAAGTCTTAGCGTTGATGTCGTTACAAGATATTGACTGACAAAAATTTTATTAGGAACAATTATTATCACTGTCTATCTTGCTCAATATTCAAGAGATGTCTATGGCAAGAACTCTGGACGTCTTTTTATCCGATACTGTATTCTTTTAAAATCCATCATCTTTGAAAAGCATTCAAAAAAAAAAACGATTCATGCGATTATTTTCTAATATCAAAATGTTGAGAAAACAAAATGGCATATTTATTTGATTAAATTATATAGAATTCTGTTATTTTTTTGGGCAAATTTTCTAACTTTTATATCAAAAGTTTCTCGAAACAAAATATTGTTTGCATGTATTTTTTTTTCTGAAAACTTGATCTTATATAATATCTGGCAAAACGACATCCGAAGGTCTTCTCTTTCGATTGCTAAAAACTGCAGGTTGCTAGCTATTGCCACACCCACTCTTCTTTAATTCTGACGTGGACATTAGATAACATTGAAATTTTGTATAATTCTTTACTTTTTTTGAAAATCGTTAAACCCGTTAATGATCACATACCTTCAGAATTATATTTTATTTTTTAGAATTTTGATATAAAGACAAATATTTTTTTTTATCTTTTTTTTTTTTTATTGTACAGATCAAACAATTGATCTTCTAATATCTGAACCTGATGAAATTCGTCGACTTCGTCGAAATCCAATAGAAGATGCATCACGTTATGGTGTACTTGTTGAAGATCAACATGATGCTAGTTTTATTTCTATTGATATAAATAATCGTATATTCTATTGGATAGATGAAGCTACATCAGAAATTTATCGTGCACATCTTACACCAAATACAATATCAATAGTACTTCCACAAGCACTTTTAAATGAAGATAATAATCATTTAATAATTCCAAGTAGTATTGATATTGATTGGATTGGTCAAAATCTTTATGTTACTGATCTTATTCATGGTTGTATATGGGTTTTAAAAAATGATGGACGTTATGCAACTAAATTAATAACAAATATTGAATCACCATGGGTTATTACTGTTAATCCAATACTTGGAATACTTTATTTTATTAATTATGAACATGGACCTATGAATAATTCTAATGAACGTATTGTTGCTATTGAATCAGCTTATATGAATGGTGAAAATCGTACAATATTAGTTGATACTGATATAGTATATCCAACAGATTTAGTTATTGATTTTTATCAAAATTATCGTGTTTATTGGACAGATGAAAAAAAAGAATCAATTGAATCAATGAATTATGATGGAACAGATCGTACTATAATAGCACATATTGGTATACATGCACCACATTCATTAGATATATTTGGAAGTCATTTATATTGGATTAATCGTGATAATCGTTCGTTATATACAATTGAAAAATTTGGACGCGGATTATCAACACTTGTCATTGATAAATTAGAATTACCTCTATTCGTAAGAATTTATCATCCATTAAAACAAATTCAATCAGGTTCAGAAGAACAAAAATTAATAAATAAGAAAAAAAGAAAATTTTGTTGTTTTTTTTTTGTTTAGTATCAAATTCATGTGCAATAGCTAATTGTTCACATTTATGTGTTTTAAAACCAATAAAGCAATATGAATGTTTATGTCCACTTAATACAACAATGCAAGTAAATGGTCGAACATGTAATGCACGTATGTATATGAAAATTTAAAAAAAAATAAAATAATATGAATATTTATTGTTTTTTTTTCACTAAAGCAACTGTTGATCCACCTGGAAATCCTGTAGAATGTAATTGTTTAAATGGTAAATGTGTTTATCATGTTGACACAAATTCTGGTCATCAACTAGCTGGTTGTCTTTGTTTTCGAGGTAAATTGAATAAATATAGAAAGTATATTTTAAAAAAAAAATTTGTTTTTAAGGTTATACAGGTGAAACATGTACTCCACCTCCACCTCTAGCTCCACATGCTTCAAATCGATGGATATTTATTATCATTGTATCAGTTAGTTTATTATTAATTGGTATTCTTACATTTAGTTTAATTCAATTGAAACGTAAAGGAAAGTAAGTTGACAAGATAAATTTTTGATCTCTAACGAACGAATCTATTCAAAATGTTCCCATTCGATTTCAATGCTTTTTTTTGCCTATAGACACTACATAATGTTCTAATAAAAATCTTAAAAGGATTTAGGTTTTTGACTAACGAGAGAAGATCTCAAGATGATTAAAAGCTTTTGAACTCATACTTTGCCCTCTAGTGAGGGATCTATAGATTAGAATAGGCTCTAAAATGTTCGTGTTGACGTTATGATCTGGCCAATATATTGACTTTGTAGTGAATTTTTCCGTGTATAGACTCAATTTTTCGATAGAATTCTATTGTCAAGTTTTCACTCGAAAACTTTGTCTAGATGAAAGTCCCAGTGAGAGTAACTGATGCACAAAATTTAAGAAGTTTTTGATCGAGTGTCTCTGATAAATGAATATATATCTCACAGACACTCGATCGAAAATGTCTTAAATTTTGTGCATAAGCTAGTCTCACGGAAATCGTCATCTAGGCAAAAGTTTTCAGACCTAAATTTGACAATAGGATTTGATCGGCACATTGGACCCATACAGAAAAAGTTTCACTAAAAAGTAAATATATATCGATCAAATCTTAACATCAACATGAATCTTTTGAAGAATATTCTAGTCTATCAATCCCTTACGACTGGACACAATATGGACTCAAAAGCTTATAATCATCTGAGGACGTTCTCTCGTAAGCTATTGAATTTTGCACATACAATGAGCTCAACTTGACTAGTTTTCAAAAACTGCATATATCATACACTATTCGTTGAAATGGATCTAGATCTTGAAAGTTTCATATCTCAAAGAGATTTTGTTGAAAACTTGTGAATTTTTTTATGGAAACTAATTTAGTTGAGTTCCCTATATGTGCAAAATTTCAGATCAAAATTCAAAAAGACATTTTTTTTTCGAAAACCTGGTGCCTTTATTAAATAGACATACTAATAATTCGATAGCTTGCAAGGAAACTTCTTCAGGTGTTAAATTGCTTTTCGACCGAGACGATGTTCATTTGATGAATACTATTGAGTAATAAAAAAAAATCTAGAATGGTTTAGTTTTCCGAGTCTTTATTCTTGAAATATCGAGATTTTACTGAGTTTTCCAACAAAAAGCTCTAGTTCCCCCAAATCATGTGAGAATTTCGACTCTAAACTTTGCACGAACAAAGTTCTTAGCGAGATTAGTTCATTGAACAAGTTGTAACTTTTCTAGTATGTTGTGTACCGAGACATATGGAATATCCGAAATTCTCCTATGTGTAAAAAGAAAATTTTGTTCATATATTTACATGTCCAAAAAGAAAAAATAGTTGTACAATCAACTAATTTCATTAAGAATATTGTTTGTACAAAGTTTGGAGTCGAAATTCTAACGTGAGTTGACGACGATCATCACAGCTTTTCGCTGAAAAATCCAGTAAAATTTCGATATCTGAAGAACAAACATTCAGAAAATCAAACCATTCTAGACTTTTCTATTACTCACTTGTATGCATCAAATGAATATCAACTCGGTCGAAAAGTGATTTGACACTTGGAAAGATTCATTCATTAGTCGAAATGCATATATATACATATGTTTATTTTTTGTATTAGATTACAATCGATTCCAACTCCACAATTGCCACGAAATATTCAAACAATAATGAATAATATGCGTAATTTTATTACACGTTCAACAGATAATATAAATACAGTTCGATTTCGAACTGCTCGATCTACTACGACAAGAGACCAGACAACAACTGTAAATAAAAATATATTGAATTTTTTGTGTTTTGTTTAAATGAATTTTATTTGATAGGAATCACCAGCAGTATTTCCTAATCCAATGTATGGTGCAATAGCAACAGCATCTAATCAACCAGCTCGATTGGCGACATCATCTGACGAACCGGCTAAATTAAATATTGAAGTTCAACAGCCTCCATCAAAACCAAGTCGAAAAGGTTTATAGCTTTTGAAGTTTTATTTTTTTTACTTTTTTATTTTTTTTGTATAGCTACTCCTGCATCTCCTCTTCGTCAACAAGTACATTTTGATCCTCAAAGCAAAGAAACTGATCATGATAAAGCTAATTTGGTTGTACGAAGTGGTAGCAGCGATGCATAATAATCATTTTTTTGTTTTTTCTATCATGTATATAAATATATCTAAATTGCTATATCATAATACAGCTTAAATTTTCATTTTTATCTTTCAAATGATTTTTGTTTTATTAACCATGTAATGATAAAAACAACAAAAAAAAATACAAGATTTACAATGAAATAAATTCTAGAAAAAAAACCTATGAAAATGATATTTGTTCAAATGAATATTTTACATTAAGAAACAATGACGGAGATAGAATGAAAATCGATATACGTATGTGAAAATGATGTGCAACATCTTCAGTGAACCCAATATTTGTATATGTAGATGTACATAGATTATTATATTCACTACGTTGCCAAACATTTCTTGATGCATCATGTTTTTCAACAATATAACCTATAAATTCACTTCCATTATCGTATTTCCATGATCCACAACTAATAGTAATGGCATCTCGTTTTATCATTGATATAGGGTGTAGAGTGCGGAACTTCTGGTCAATCGTATCCATACCCACACTTACACACTCACACCCTTAAGTATGCATAGCATCTGATGAATACATTACAAACTAACACAATCAGACAAATCCTTTAATTATGTATCATTGAAGTTCTGAACATAGTTAGATTCGTACACGACTGTCGAACATAGATGTATGCAAATTCACATTGAACTTTGTCAGGTTAGATTAGATGTGGATTTCACTTGGCAATATGTGCGACTCTTGTAGAGTATCTTTTTTTCAATAATTTACTACGATTCTTTCTACATCATGTTCCTCAGTTGATCCAACTTTAACGTTATAGAATTATTTTCACTCTTAATAACCCCTATTTTTTCTATATAAAAAATTGCCAATAAAATATTGAAAAACATTGTTAAAATACGACCATGTTCTTTGATTTGGTTCGAATTTGTTGAGAGAGAGACAGAGTTGTGAAATGAAAAAAAGATACAGGGTAATTCCGTAGAGATTCCATCATCATTTAAAAAAGTATCTTCAAATCGCATCAAACGTACAGCGTTTATAGAAATTTTTAAGCTGGTCATTTTGGTTAAATTGGCAGAGAATCATCTGAAATACTGTACAAAGGTTTTTATCAGAAAATCATGTATTTGTAAAATTACTAGAATGAGTAACTTTGCGATTTCTTGTTCTTAATCGTCTTTAAATCCATCTATAATGAAATTTCGTTCGTAAAATAATGCAGCCCATGTGAAAATGCATTGGACTACATATCATTGAAAAAAATTTTCATAACGAAATATATGACCTTACAACTTATAGGGTTCAATAGAAGAAAAGTTTGTTCTATCGAACTCTATAGTCAGCTTTTTACGTGAGTGAGATTTGAATATGAAATGCAGATCAGAAAAGAAGATGTATGATTTCTAGTTGCGTTATTTCTATGGAATCTCAACCACAATATACAAAAGCAATCTCCGATTTTGATGAGATTTGTAGCGTTTGTAGAGCTTTTAATTCTAAGAATTTTCACAAGAAAAGAAATTTCGAAATGCTTTTGTTTTGACGGAGATATGTTCAGAATACTTTAAGCAATTAAAAAGACAAACATCGTGAAAAAACGGGTTTTTTTTTGCAGAATTTTCATGGATTTTTTTTGGTAGTTTATTTTATTAAAGAAAAGCCAAAAACTAAAGGCAAAACCATGTTCGGATTCCTTGTGAGAAGATGCATCGAACCACACTACACTCGACTTATGTTTTGACAGAAATCGCTGCTGGTATGCATACTAAGTATTCACCGACAGCTAAATACAGTGCTATCTTGCATCAGCAATCGTTCGAAAAAACCAAATGGATTTCTGTAACAATGACCTCGAGAAGCGAAAGTCAGAAAATACTTGTTCAAACTCAAGAATGAAATCTCATGATCGAATCGATAGCATCCGTTTTTTTTATCTTTAATATGACGTTCCATTTTCTTACAGAAAGCCGCTACTCTCTTTCCTCAAAGATAAGACAGCTATGAATCATTAATAGAATTCTCTTTGTAATGCATTTCGCAATGACTACTTTACAGTTTCTTTCTAACTTCGATCATTGATTGATCGAAACATAACTTTTCTGATTTATAGCGACGAAAGAAGAAGCCTGATTCCGGTATAGCATGGTTATTTTTCAGCGAATAGTGTTTCATATTCAATCATTCAAACGATTATTCGTTTCTTGGAAAATATCGATTTATCCATCAATCGACATTGAAACCTTTGTACCGTATCTTGCAGTCGAGTGTAACTCGGATGCTATCTAGTCAACTATGAGTGTTTTATTCAAAAAGAATTGACTTTTCTGACTATTTTCCTACTCGAGAAATAACATACATTCATTGAGTCATGAAACTTTTTCATGAATATTACCTCTATTCGTAGGTTTTTTTTCTCAAACATGAATTGAATAAACTTTGAACGATGTAAAATAGAGAATCGTTCGATTTTAAGTATTGAAAGCAGTAAGTCAAAAACTTGAGAAATTTCTAGTCTTCATGCTATCTATCCCATTTGAAGGATTCTATGCATATCCACACACTTGTTCAAACTTGGCGTTCATACTAAGATTCTTTTTTTTACATTTTGAAGCACTAAAAAATGATTTGCATTAATCAATATTTAAATCTCGATTCGTGTGAGAAAAATAAGTTTAAAAAGTCTTGACCAATGATTCTTCGATTGACACTAAACTCAAATTAGTTTCAATATGATGGTCTCATATATGGTTCTATTTTTCTTATACTCTGAATGACGTATAATTAAGAGATATTATCATTAGCTTTCAGTTCTTTATTTGTCTCGAAAAAAAACCTCAAAAATTACAAGAACATATCAATTTTTGAGAAATTTCGAGTATAACAACGAAATTTTTTAACACAAAAAACCTATTCATTCAGACAATCGATACATATTTTCTTCAATTTGTTGAACGAATGGTGCACGTTGAATTTTCTTTTCTAATTTTTTCAAGAGAGAGTCATCTTCTTTAGCTTGCTTTGGTTTCAATTTTTTATACCGTTTGAGAATCTAAAAAATAAATTCTATTGATCAAATCACTTCCAATTTTCTTATCGAATAATTACCTTTTTCTTTAAAGCATCTAGAGTAAGTGTTTGATCATTTGCTTTACTCAATGCAAGTTTAATTTCATCATACCATTCAAAATGAGGATTTGATGGTACTGTTTGATTATTATCTTCTTGAACAATTTCATTTTCATGAATTGTCTTTTGTTTTTTTGAAGATTCTTCATTATCTTCATTAGTTTTTCGTTTCGATTGTGATTCATCCATATCTTCTTTTTTAACAGGAGCTTGAGATATATTTTGATCTTGATCTTCTGTATCATTTTTTTTCGTTTGATTACTTCCATTATTTGAAGCCTATGGATAAAGAGAACATCGAACGTGGTTTTTCTGTTACATTACTAGCCAAAAATAGTGATACTAGGTAAAAGTAATCAAAAACTCGAGTGTTGGAGCTGAAGATTTTTACCACAATGAAAGCTCAGTAGGCCTAATCCTAGACACCAACTCGCACGCAATCGAATGACAAATAATTGAGTTGTGAGTCAAACATTACTTTGACCTTAGAACACTCGGATCTCTATCATTCGAATATCTTAATTCGTTAGCTGGATATCTAGCCTTTCTACTGTAAGATTTTTCGACGAAATCACTTTTGTCTTGTTGAGTTTTATGTTTGTACTTGAGAATCAGCATATCAGTGCCTTTAGATAAATTGACGATAATTTAGATAGATTTCTGATCGTTTTCTCTGAAAACGTTTTTGAAGAATCGTCAATAATCGATATAAATTAGAGAGTGATAGTTTTTTCTAAACAGATGTTATCGAAGAAACTTGATGTCAATAGTGCAAGGCTTATTATACGTCGGGATCTCAAAGAATTCAAGTGCCAATTCTATATTATAAATGAAACACTTAGTACTTCGTTTATCGATCAAAACTTAACTTTCAATTGATGAAACCACAGAGAACCAGCCAAAATGTTTCTCTCAGCATCATTTTTGCTTCCTTTTGACCTAAATCTTTGTTGTAGATTAGAATTCTAACGAACCATGAGCCTTGTAGTATTGACATCAAGTTCCTTCGATAACTTCTGTTCAGCAATAACTATGAATCTCTAATTTATAAAAAAAAAACTTCCTCGACTCCTGAAGATCCATTCAGTAAAATTCAGAAAAAACAGTTGAAATCTATCTGAGTTATAGTCAATTTATCTATAGGTACTGATATGCCGATTCTTCAATATAAACATAGAACTCAACAAGACAATGGTGATTTCGTAGAAAATCCTTACAATAGAAAGGCTAGATGTCCAGATAATAAATCAGGATGCTCGAATGGTAGAGATCCGAGTGTTCTAAGGTCAAGGCAATATTTGATCCCCAACTCAATTAGTTGTCATTCGATTGAGTGCGAGTTGGTGTCTACGATCAGAACCTACCGATCTCTATTTATGATAAAATTTTCAGTTCCAATGCTAGGGGTTTTGATCACTTTTGGTTAGTAATATATATTCATATATATAGTCTGTTTAAAAAGTCCGTGTGTGTGACTGTTTTTTTGAATAACTCGAGAACGCAAGCAGCTAGAGACCTGCGGTTTTCACCAATCGAAAGAGAAGGAGTTAGGGCATCTTTCTCTCTGATAATATCTCATACGAAATTCTTTTAAAACTGATTATCTTTGAAAAATATAGAAAAGAATACATGAAAGTGACACACAATACACATGAAGTTTCGATTATGACCTTTGATTTAGATAGAGGGACTTCAGATCTATAGTTCAAGATGCAACCCAAATGGCTCTCTAATTGCATTCTAACGTTGACCAAATGAAATCATGTATTTACATGCACAAATAATAAGGAATTCTGCTGATGTTTTACTACGTTTTTGCATGTTTTTGTCATAATAGCTGGATACTTCGATGAAAATGTAATTAAACATAAGAAAGTGTATTATGTTTTAAACTATAGATCTGAAGTCCCTCTATCTAAATCAAAGGTTATAATCGAAACTTCATATGTATTGTATGTCACTTTCATGCATTCTTTTCTATATTTTTCAAAGATAATCAGTTTTAAAAGAATTTCGTCTGAGACATTATCAGAGAGAAAGATGCCCTAACTCCTTCTCTTTCGATTGGTGAAAACCGCAGGTCTCTAGCTGTTTGCGTTCGCGAGTTATTCAAAAAACAGTCACACGCACGGACTCTAACAGACTATAGTTTATAATATAATATTTACCTTTGGTATTAATGTTTCAAGTATAGACCATACTTCTTCGACTACTCGAGGTGGAAAACCTTTGATTGAATTATTAACAAAATTCTATAGATTCGAAATGATTATTATTAATAAATAATTCGAAAAAAGAAGAAGACGGAAACTTTACAATAAATTTTCCACGTTTTCGTGGTGTATTTGGATAATATTGAAGTTTTTTTAATAAAACTTTTGCTTGTGTACTACCAGAATTAAGATTAATAGCTGATTGAACTATTTCAAACCATTGATTTTGTTTCTTTTCACCTTTATTCATATTTGTTGGTGCTGTATAATTTGCACCACCATATTTTTCTTGTTCACTAACACATTTTGTATGTTCTTTATATGAATCACGACTAATAAAATAAAAGATGACATAAATAAAAACTAAAATAATTCAAATAGATTATATCATACGTAAAATCTTTTCCACAATCAATACAAGAGAGCGTTGGCACTCGTCGACATGTACTTGCTATATGTTTATCGACTTGATTTTTTTTAAGTGCTTCACCACAGCTACCACAATGAAAAACAACCATTGTAATGCTATTTTCTTTAATTTGTCTAAAAGAAATTAAATTATTGAGTATTTTCATTTAGTTCAATTATCAAAGATCTCTGAGTACATTTCATTGTTATTACTAATGCTTATCACAATGGAAAAATATTCTACTCTTCAATGAAGCCTTGTAATCAAAAAATAAAATGATTCATATCCAGGTTTTATTTCTAATGTAATAAAAACGATAATTGATAAACTAAGAAAGTTAGTTAGATCTTGTTCTCAATAAATAAAAGGTACGTAGAATCAACAATATCAATTACTCAGAAATTTGTTGACATCATAGAATGCGAAAGATAGATATGTGACGCATAGCGTTATCTCTTGTCTAGATGAATTAAAGGAGAGAAGTCATCCATCTGATAAATCGTTTTTGAGTAGATCCAAATGAGCTATGAATACTGTGAAAAGGATTTATGTCTTGGGCTTATTGCTGCACTGTTACAGTTTTTTTAAATGAATGCTATGGTACATCCGAAAAATTAATTTTCGAATTTCGACTTGAAACTTTGCATAGAGACAAACATTAATGAGCATAGTTTTATGTAAATGTTGCAGATCTTGTCGTTGTTTCAATCTTAAGATACAACTAAATTCCTTTCCACAATAGAACACCACTATGAAAACTTTGTACACTGGATATAATAAGACCCAGAGACTTCTATGAAGAGGAAGTTTAGTTGCATCTTAGAATTGGAACAACGACAAGATCTGAAACATTTACATAAAACTATTCTCGTTAAGGTTTGCCTCTATGCAAAGTTTCAAGTCAAAATTCGAAAATCAATTTTTTTTAAATGTCTCTAACTACACACTATTATTGAGTAGAACTGCTCACTTGGGCAAAAGGAACTTATTGTTTTCTAACAGAGAACATCTGTTATAAGAATAGTCTTCTTTTCTAATTCTGATGAAAGAAACAAAAACATTATTTTTATTTTTAAATATACACGCTATTTTATTTTTTAAATCGTTTTGGCTCTTGTTTAATATATGTCGAATTTTTTTCATCTTTTCGTCGTGATGATGAAGATGAAGATGATGATAATTCAACTCCAGGTGCACAACCAAGTTCTTTTAATGTTTTAATCAGATCATCATCTTTTTCATGTTCTTTAGGTGGTTTATAATCTTTAACATGATCAACACGTATTGCTCGACCAGCTAATTTAATACCATTAAAATTATCTACAGCTAATATTGTACTTCGTTGATCTTCATAACAAATAAATGCAAAACCTTTTGATTTCCCAGTTTTTTTATCACGTAATAAATTAATATTAACTATTTCACCCCATCTAAATAACAAACAATAAATTCAATATATATATATACAGGGTGTCTGAAAAGTAGCTAGCTAATTTAAATTCTTTATTACTCTCAAAAAAACAAAAGATACCGTAACGATCTTTTCACTGTTTTGAAGCATGTGTCATGGCATTTTGTTGTAGATGAAGCAAGTCGATTGATCGTTTGACTCTCCAAGATCAAGCCTGAATTTTGTCTTGAGGATATCTGGAAAACTCATCATTTTGAGTAATTTATTATTCTTGTACTAGTACCAGAGTGTGGGTATGTGGATGTGGGTAAGCATTTTTGCATTGTCCAAACACATCAGAAGTCCACATTCACACTCACATGCACACCCCATACCTATACGCACACGCATACCTACACCTGAGTTCTCGTATAAGAATAATAAACTACTCAAAATAATGAGCTTTCCCCAGATATCCTCAAGACAAAATTCGGGCTTGATCTTAGACAGTCAAACGATCAATCGACTTGTTTCATCTACAACAAAATGCCATGACACATGCTTCAAAACAGTGAAAAAATCGTTAAGATATGTTTTGTTTTTTTGAGAGTAATAAAGAATTTAAAATAGCTAGCTACTTTTCAGACACCCTGTATATATATATTTTTTTTATTCTGTTAAATTTCTTACTGAGAAAATACACATATAATATCTCCTTCAGTTAATTCAAAATCTATACCACCAACATAAATCCATGCACTTTCACGATAAACATGATGCCAACTTTTGTGTGTATTAGCTGAACCAGTTTGTAATTCTTTTTCATTTAATTCATTAACTAAACGTGCTTTACTAAAAACAAAAAAAAGAAGAAAAAGATTTCTATTAAATAAATAAACTTACGTTATAGAATTCATAATTTTTCAAAAAAAGAAAAGCTAAATTAATGAAATTACTGACTGAATAAATATGACTACCAATCATTATTTACTATATAGATGGCGGTTCATTTTTTTTTATGCATCTCATACTGAAAAAACAACATGTATTTGATAAGCTCGATTCATCATAGATATATATATTTAAGTTGTAGTCACTAGAACATCATTATTTTCTTTTTAGATTCTTTCAATTTTATCTACGTTCATTAAAAAATAAAATGAATTATAACGATGATTATAATCCATTTGCTGACTCGTCAATTCAACAAGCAACAGCATCATCATTGTTCGTAATTTTTTTTTTCTTCTTTATCATCTAGTTTATTAATTAAAATATTTTTGTAGTTCAAATCAACAACCAGTTAATGAATATAATCCATTTGAAAAAACAGCTACAACGGCTCAAGTATATTTTAATTATTTTTTTACTGATTCTGTTCATTTGTTTTTTTTAAAGCCTGCTCCACCTCCACCTTCACAACAACCAAATATTGCTGCTGTTTTGCCACCAACACAACCTGCAACATATCAATCACCATTTTATGCATCATCAGCACCACCACCTAATACTGTTCAACGACCAATAGAAACACCAACACGTGTTGACCTTAGTCAATATGAACGACAACAAGCCGAACTTGAACAACGTGAAAAGCGACTTGCAGACCGTGAACGTGCATTATCAGACTCAACAAAGCTTCAAAGTAAATTTTTAATATTATGTTTTTTGGAAATTTAGTTTCGATTTTTTATTTGTGTACATTATGACTAATTGAGTTAAGAATGAGTAATCATTTTGTTTTTATATATGATACAATCCTCGATGAGAAAGATAAGTAACAAAAAAAAAAAACATACTTCAATATGAAAGACAAATGCGCGATTTTCAATATAAATTTAATAATAAAATTTATTTAAATTTTGTCATATTACTTTAATTGTTAATGATGCGTTTCTTTTTCTTTTTCGCTTGATTTGACGGTAAAAGTATTTATTGACAGCTGACAGATGTGATTCAGTACTATTATTATACTAAAGTGATATCATATATAACTGTTTATTTTATTAACCTTAGTACGAACTCTTAGTCAACTTCATCACACTGTTATAAGAATACAATATTAGATGAAAATCATTCATCTTCGAGATATGCTAATAATATCTGCCAGTTACACCTAACTATTAATTATGTAAATAGTACATGTGAACGCTTGTTGACTACTAGCGCATTTTTGGACAGAAGGAGAAGGTACTGTCACTATTGACTACATATACTACCCCCGCACTCCAGTGAGATTCCTTGCTATGTTATGTACTTATAACATTTAATCGAAGCATGTTCTTTGAGATATGTATTATGGCTACATAATACTGACATTGATAACATTAGTCTGTGATACGTGATTATTTTTCCTATATAAAAATAGTAGCAATTTTGGGTATTATATTGATTTTATCAATTGAAGTCGGTGCGGACTTCAGATAGACCAACAAAGTGTTTGTATTAAGATTAAACGAAAGATTATTTAAAAGATTAAATTTGATAATTCAGTTTTTTTTGTTGTTGTCCATTTAAATGTCTTTTATTTTAGAAGGTGAAAAAAATTTTCCACCATTACCAAAATTTTGTCCATGTGGACCATGTTTTTATCAAGATATAAGTATTGAAATTCCGAGTCAATTTCAAATTTGGGTTCGATATCTTTACTATTTATGGTTAAGTATGTGTTTTCATATATATATTTATTTATTTATTTTAAATTAAATTTTATATATATTTAGTGTATTCGGCTACATTGTTCTTGAATATGATTGCTGCATTATCTTATTTTGGTTAGTGAAAAAATGATTTTTATATATAAAAAAAATATATAGGTCAAATTTCTTTTGTTTTATAAAGTGGTTGATAAAAATGGTGCAGCAACATTTGGTTTATCACTTGTCTATCTCTTTCTTTTTATACCCTCATCGTATATTTGTTGGTTTCGACCAATTTATCGAGCATTCAGGTTAGATATAAGTTTGAATAAATAAGAATATTGAACGACATAAAAAAAATAAATAATATTTTAGAAGTTATCATGCAATAGATTTTATGTTTTTTTCTTCTTATTTCAAACATGTATAAATGTTTGAATGGAAAAATTCAGATTTTTGGTAATGAGAAAAAAAATACAACTAATTTAATTTTAATTAAACTAATCAACTTTATTATTCGATTTTGTTTTTATTTTGACATTAATTAACATAATCTTTCTTTTTTTTTCTCTCAAAATTAATCTAGAGAAGACAGTGCAGCAAATTTTATGATCTTTTTTTTGGTCTTCTTCATACAACTTATCATAACAACGTTACAATTTCTTGGCGTTGCGAATTTTGGATGGTAATATATTCTATTTTCAAGCATGTAAAAATAGGATGAATTGAAAAAATTTTTTAAATAATCCTATTTTCCAATTTGAACATAGATGTTGTCTTTTGCACATTTTTTCACTTTGCATGATCTTATTTCACTTAACTCTACCTACTTAGTTACATGTTTTATTTTACATATATTCTCATCAACATAACAATTTTAGTAGTTTGATATGAACTGAGTTTTTAAGAATCTGATTATTTCAAATATGAATATGAGAAAGAACAAAAAAAAACCTAAGAATTCGAGTAAATGACATATATATTTAACTTGAATTTAGAACTGACAGTTCTGTTTACTTCATGCTTTTCTTCGTTATCAACTTTGCATTCGTTGCTACGAATATTCTTTTTGCAATTGGAATAATTGGTGGCATGTGGTGGGTGCTTTGTAATGATTGTTTTTTTGCTGTCGCTTTAAAATTAATCAATAATGATTTGAAAATAAAATAAACAAATTTTTTTGCTGTGTGTATTTTTCTAGTGGCTTCATACTTATGATTAAATTATTCACGGCTGGTGGAAGCAAAATTGCAGTTGGTCTCATAGTTATGATTGTTACATTCAGCTTTGCTTTAGTTGCTGCCGCCGGTGGTTTATTATTGATTAAGGTGAAGTATAAAAAAAAGAAGAAAGCTACTTTTATTCGCTCTAATATCTTTAAAAAGCGTTTTTATATTATATAAATATTTTCTTTGAATCTAGCGGTTTTGCTCGACTTGGTTTAATGGCAACCAATAAAGCTGTTGGAACTATGATGATCATTCTTGGTTCTTTATGGTCATTAATATCTCTTTTATCTGTTCTTCTTACAATAAGGGTATATGGCTGATTGCCATTGTTTGAATGAAAATAAAATTGCTCTATAATACCTAATAATGCTATTAGAATTATTTTAAATAAATAAATAAATAATTATCATGAATTGGTATTTTTATTTTATAGGTTCATCGATTGTATAGACAATCAGGCGCTAGTCTTGAACAAGCTCAACGTGAATTTCAATCAGCATTTGTAAACAAGTAAAGAATAATAATAATAAATTAAAGAAGAATAAATAAAAAAAAACTATAATATTTTTTAGTCCAACTGTTCGTGGAGCAGCTCGTGAAGTAGCAACAGCCGGTATTAACGAAGCAGTACGTAGTAATGATAATCAACAACGGCCAATTTATTAAAAAAATGATTATACTACTAATAATAAAAAAAAATAAACCAAGCAATTTTTTTCGCATATTCAAATAAATACTTCTATATTATGATTGTATTTTTGTCGATTATCTTTAACTAAAAAAAAAAAAACAAATCTATTTTACTTTATTATCTTTTTTTTCTGTTGTCAAATCGACATGTCGTCAACAGGAGATTAAAGGGAAAAGATTTTTGTTGTATTTTCTTATTGTCTATTATAATATTCATCATTCTACTTAATGTTGTTATCATGGTTTATTCAATGTTGTGTGGAATATAGAATATATATAACTGAATATCTTTGATTTGTTTTAGATATTTATTCAATCTTTGTATCTTTTGTTTCGTTTGTACTATGAATTCAATTTACAAAACAAAGAATATTGATAAAGCTATTTCTGATCCAGTCGTACAAAATGAAGCGCGTCGTTATTCTATTCGTACACGTCTTGCTTTTTTACCTGATGAAAATATTGGTCAATCATGGTTTTTTCGTTTCTTAACATTAGTTTATTATTATCCATTTGTTTATTTTCATGGATTTGAAAGTATGATAAAAATAGTATATTTTTTATTTTCAAAGTTTTTTTGTTCTTTTTTTGTGTTCAAATAGTGGAAGGAATCGAAAAAATAGATCCTAATGAAGGTTATCTTTTTATTGCTCGACATTCTACACATAATGCTGACATATTGGGAACTATTGTATGCATATATCATATGACAGGACGAGTTTTTCGGTAAAATTTTTTTATTATTATATTTTAAAGTTTGCTCTTATTTCAATTAGTTAGATCTTTAATGCATCGATCTTTAAAACTATTTTTTCCTGCTTTACGATTCATGGGTGCTGTACCAGGTGAACAAAAAAGTGCATTATCATTATTAAAAAGTGGATTTTGGGTAGGTGTTATGCCAGGTAATATATTTTAATATATATATTAATTTTCATGAATAATTTGATATTTATTTTTTATTTAGGTGGAGCAGATGAAGGTATGATTGGTCATGAAAATGCATATAAAGTATATTGGCCTAAAAAACGTAAGTTTTTCTTAATAGAAATATTTTATTCATTCGATTATAATTTCTAGGAAAAGGTTTTGCTCAAATTGCTATTAATGCTGAAGTACCCATTGTTCCCTTATTTGTGTCAAATGTTGAGGAAATGCGTTGGAATCCGATACTTTGTATTTGGAATCTTTTAGGACTTGGTCGTTTATTTTCTTATATACTTAAATTAGATATTCCATATGTTAGTCCAATTATACTTCTAGTTGCTACAATGGCATGGTTTACGGCAACATTTATTCAAATTCCAATACCTGCTAAAATAACATTACATGTTGGTGATCCTGTACAATATGATATGTCAAAAGATTCAGTTGATGATGTGAGTTTGATTTTTATTGTAAATTTAACATTTATCTTATTTTTTTTATTTGTTGATTTGAATAGGTTGTTGAACGAGCTAGAACTAGTTTGCAATCATTGATTAATCGTCATCAACCATATGGAAAATCCTATTCAAATGCTGTTAAAGAAAGATTTCAATGTTTAATCAAACATTGGAAACAAAGATCAAGTGAAGCAAAATGCTATTCGTAATTGGTGATATTTTTAGTGCAAAAAAAAAATAATTTTTTTCTATTTTAAATTTTTGATGTTTATGTAATTCTTTTATATTTTATTTAAGTCATATTTCATAGAAATGATATTTGTGATAGTTTTTTCGTATGATTGTAATGATTAAGTAGTGTTTTTTAGATCTGTTTTTTGTCTTTTGAAGTACTAGAAATGATAGATGATAATTTAATGGATACAACAGATAAAAATCCGCCGATAACAACAACATTTGATGTTGATCGATATCGTTTAACAAATGAAAGTGATCAACAATGGTTTTACAGAAAACAATTTATTGAAGCATTTCGATTTGATTATAATGAAGAAAGACTTTTATGTCTTGCACAATGTTATGCAAATACTAAATGTCTTGGATGTATGTTAAATTATTCTATTGAATATTATAGTTAGAATTCTAAAAGAATTATTATTTTTTCTATTGATTAGGCAAATATTCTGAACCATTAAAATCATTACTTGATCAACTTTCAGAAAAACTTGCGAGTTCTTCCGTTAAACGTTCAACAAGTCAGGAATTAAATGATGTAAATAATAAACGAAATGCATCTATGTCAAAGTGAGTTCTTTATACAACAAAAGAAACAAACGATTAAATTATTGAGATGATAAAAGATGAGTACGATGAATAATTTTTTTCAACACTATTTCATATTATAGTAATTCGTCACATTTAAGAAATGTAAAGATTAACAGGGAGGATGTGAACAGTAGTTCTATTGGATTTCTATGTATCGAGACAATTAGAATAGTTATCTTGTTAAATATCTGGACTTCACATGGACTAGCAAGATGTCACTGAAACCTAGGATGACTTTTGGAAGAACGAGAAAGACTCTCTAGGATATTTCTTCAAACAGAACAGAGTAAAAAAAGTTAATAAAGAGACACGAAATACTCTTGATAAGATGGATTAATTTCGTGCAATAGTAAATCTCTTATCACATCTCGTTTTCTCAATACTTCATCTATATTCCAATAAAGATAAATTAATTGGTTAAGGAGACTCTTAGCTATGGCAATTAGCATCACATACATCCTATCTCATTCCGCTTCTCATGTAATCACTCCGAAGTGTTACATAAATAGAACAGACAAAATTTAAAAAACAAGTTTCTTGTTCTACTCTATCTTTTCTTATGACAGATAAGCAAGAATATTCTAAATTTTTTTATCCATGTGAGGAAACTTGAAAATACTTTAAGAGAAGTAAAACTATGAGTTAGCTCAAAACCTTATATGTCTCTTTTTCCTCTATAATGATGAAACCATTGTGAAAAATTAATTTAAACAGCCAATTAACAGTTTATCGCTAAACTCTATAAAATTCTTTGAAACTTTTATTTTTACAGAATATTATTTCAACCGAACGTATGTTTTATATGGACAAACTCATTCGTTGATGTGAGAGAGTACTAATATACAAACGAAAAAATGTATTTATAATCGAGGAAGAAGTTCAAAATCAATTGCAAATGATATAAAGCCTTCTTCAAAATTTCTAAGACAAAAATTTTTGTTTTGAAACTTGACATGATTTCTAGAAAATCTTTGTTTTAAGAGGAAGTTTTTTGGAATTCAACCCTACTGAAAATTTTACCATAGATGTGGTTCATGTCATAGAGTCTATCCTGAAGCTTTCGGATTTTTTCGCATTTGTTCAAAGATATTCACTAATTACTTTTTTTTATTAACAGTCACCTGAAAGAGCCATATATGTCTATACTAAAAGAACTTATTCAGAAAAATAACTCGTGTAAAGAATCAAAGTCAAATAAAAGGTGGATATGCCCTATCTTGTCTGAAATGACCCATATATTAGACGATATAGATACAGTTTTTGAACTATTTTCTATATATAAAACAAAATAACATCGTTTTTTTTGTCACATTTTTAAAGCTCTTCTCTTTTTCTAGTACAACTATGTCCAACGTTCCACTAAATTCAGCTTTTTCCAATTCATCAAATTTTGTTTCATTTTCATCATCTATTCCATCTCATCCATTACCACCAGCATCAGCACCACCACCAATTATATCTTCCGAACAAGTTCAACAATCAACAATAGATCCAAAATCAATGTTATATGAGTCAACTGAAACAAAATTTATTCGTCTACGAACATTTGCTAATCAACTTAAACAATCAATTGAAGCAGCACAAAATCGTACGGGTAATGATGAAAATGATAATGCTATTGAACAAATATATCAAATTGGTAATCAACAACGTTTATTTATTGATTATCGTCCAGATGATTCAACAAATCAATTAAATTCACATGGTACATATGCTACTTCGTTTTTAACACAAACATTTCATGGTAAACTTTATATTGATGAAGTTTATATATGTTCAGGACAAGGTACAAATAAAAGATTATGTAAACGAAATTGTTTTCAACAAGCATTAAATCGTTTTTTATATGAAAATTTTGATATTAAATTATTTTTAAATAAAGATGGTCGTGAACAATATGAACTTATAAAAATTGATTTAAATGAATATCAAGATGAATTTAATATGGATGATAATCAAGATAAAGAATCTTTTATTATACCATCAAATCATCCAATGGCTAATACAAAAATGAATTTTGTTCATGCACGAGATACGACAACTATAGCTGGACGTACAGCTCGACAACAAAGTAAACTTGAACAACAATATTGGCAACAATGGGGTCGTGGAACGCCTTATTTTACAAAACCAAGACGTATTCAAAGATCTTTATCACCACCACCACCTGTACCACATCAAACAATAAATGAAAATACAACAGCAGTCATTGAAGCAGTATCAACTACACCAGCTAGTGTTGCAGTATGTCTATTTATGAATTATTATCACATTAAAATAAGAATATTATATTTAGGCTGTCATTGCTGATATAGAACAAGCAGCTCAACAACAACAAGAAAATGTTGATAATAGAGAATTTGTGTATCCATTTCCAGTAAAACCAGTCGATGATCAAGTAAAGAGATTCATTTGTTTTTTTTTTCTTTTGAAATTATTTATTAATTTAATCAGAGATTTTGAAAATTATATTTCAAAAACACAAAAAAGAAAACAAAAATACAAATCATTCGAACAAATGTTCCAGAAGAAATTGCACTAAATCTCAATGCATTTTTCTCTTGTTTCTTAATCATAAAAAGAAACTTTCTCTTATACCTAGAAATATAGAATTTCAAGCTCTACAAAACTTTCGATTTTGTTTCTCAAAAACCTTTTCCTTGTTGGCGTGACATTTAACAGAAGAACATCTACGTACGAGGGAACATATCCAAGTGACAAATCGCTTTAGAGCTGAAGTCTAGTGGATATTAGGTAATCGAGCACTCTCTCTCTTTTAGTATATAAAGCTAACCTTTTGTTCTTAGAAAGTAAGAAAAAAATGCATTTAGATTTAGTGCAATTTATTCTGGAACATGCGTTATATCATCTATCTCTCCCTTTCAGTTCTTATTATCAATTGTACAATACTCAGTATTTGGTCGTGCTCCATCAATTCAATATATCGTATACAAAATTTAGTTACAGGTCAGTGTATAGATATGTATATGAAATATGAGACTAGAAAGAAATGAGAAATAATTATTTTATTAAAAACAAAAAAATAAAAGAAATAAAATAAATCTTTTCTCTTTCTAGTCTCATATTTCATTCAAATCTGTACATTGATTTTAGAGATAATAAAAATGAATGAGAATATTCTAAATCATATGAATTATTTATTTGAATATAATCTTTAAAAAAAAATGAATAAAAAACTTTATCTAGATAAACAATAAGTCACCAATACAACAACAACCAATATGTTCTGAAGCAGCTAAAAATGCCATTGATCCCATATTATTATCTCAACAACGTGCAAAATTAGCTAAAATGCAAACATTTCTTTTTAGTTTATTGAATACATTAGCTGATGCAAGTCATTCAATTGATCTTATATCAACACAAATTAATAAATATCATTTGCATTCGGATTTTGAATGTGCGGATAAACCAACATCAAATGGTTTTCATGGTCATTTAATTATTGAACAAATTGAAATAGCTGATGGATATGGTATTAATAAAAAATTAGCAAAAAAACAGGTAAAATTTAATTAGTAAAACAAATTTAAAGATACAATAAAAGAAAAACTTACTCTATAAAGATTTCATTGAATAAAAGCTGTTAGCGTAATACCTACGGAAATTAAAATATGGAACATAATATAGCGCTTGTTACTAATCACAGGGATATTGCTGTATCCTATGTATTTCGGAACAAATTTCTTCGGCAGTCTTTTACTTAATCCTCCAGAAATGCAAGAAGAAGCCGGTGCCCGGCATGGATCAATTTTTTTTGTCGGGTCCAGCGTGTAAATAGTTAAAATCTTGATCCTTTACTTGTTTATGTAGACGAAGGGTGCCAGTTATTGATGGATAAAATCTCGGGTTTGTACTGGTCGGCCCAGATCTGAGTTTGACCGGGTTTGGCCTCATAAAAACGTGGATCCACAGCATTCTAGAGTGAACGAGAAGAAAAGAGCGTGCGACACATAACTTCTTGTTCGACTGAGCTTTTTCACGCCGTCTGCGAGAACTTTTAAATGAAAATAATATTCAAAATATCTTTTGTATCTGCAAAATATTCAGACTGCAGGTCCGATTCGAGGTCTAAAAATTTTTTCGTAACCTGATCCAACTTAAGGTCAACTGTTTTTTTTCGTGACTCGATCCGAGTCGGACTCTGTAAGAAACTGGTAGTTCATACATTATAGCAAGCTGTTATTGATATATGGTCTATAATGAGAGGGAGGATCCAAATTTTTACCTCTATGGTTTCACATTCAGGTTGCAGAAATTTCGTCCCGAACTTAAATTGACCTGATGAATCCCTATAAATAGCTTTGTTCCTTTAATTGGTTGCTACATTTCGCAGTGCTGAGCAGGATATTATATTTCATTATCTTTACAAATAAATCATATTTATCCATATAGTAATCTTTTTTTTTATTTTCTAGGCATATTCTAATGCATTAAAATCGATTTCATCAGCTAAATCATTTTCACTTGAATTACGTAATGATATTCGTTGGATATTAGTTTGTCATCAAGATGAGACAGGTCTACTTAAAGTACCACCACCTCGTCGACCTATAGCATTACGTAATGAAGACCGGCCAAGTCGTTGGGGACCACCAACAAATTTATCTGCTGTTACATCATCAACAACATCAGCTGTACGTCATTTTCATGAGCGTCGTGTTGAAGAAGGTTCACAACGTGAAAAAGAATATCATACAGCAAGTGGTGTATGTATTCCACCACCAGCATTAATTGAACCACCATTAACACGTGTAGAAATAGGAAAAGATTTAACAAAATGTACATCATCAACAGATGAATCTATTGTGAATAATATTCGTCGTCTTATACCAAATACATTTGTTGTTTTTGAATTACTTGATTTCGATGAAAATATTCCTGGTCATTACGTATCAATGTTATTTACATCCATGTCAAAAAATAAACTTGAACTCAAATATGAATTTGTTCATGTTCCGAGCGGATTTATGATAACATATACAATAAATAATCGATTTTTTATGTCATGGATAGGACCAACAAAAGTTGCAGCTAAACAAGCTGGAGCAAAAAAAGCTATTGAAATGTTAAAAACACTTTATCCAAGTATAAAAACAAAACATGTTGTTAGTGATATGTCTATACATGAAAATGAAATTATGGGTATTAAATATAAATTAATAACACGTTCAGAATTATATGATCAACAACCATTAACAACATCTATAACAACAATGCCTACAAATACACAACAAAAAGAAGATATGGGTTCAAAATTATTAAAAAAAATGGGTTGGGTTGGTGGTGGTATTGGTAAAGATTTACAAGGTATTGCTGA